CTCTCTCTCTCTCTCTCTCTCTCTCTCTCTCTCTCTGCGGTCCTTTCCACGCCCCCCCCCAACCCCAGGCAACCAGATTTTGCGATTTCTGAGCCCGGCTGAGGCCGCAGCCAATCATAATTCAGGATTTGCCGCGTTCTCGGGGTAGCCACCAATCGCACCACAGGCTTCCCTAGCCAGCTCCCGAGAGTGGCCAGTCCGCGCCGCAGATTGCCTCACAGCCCAGGGCGCAGTGGCCAATCCCCGCCCGGGGAGCGACAACCAGTCGCGGCGCAGAGTTGCCGCGAGTGCCCGGGTGCAGCACGGCGGCCAGTCGGCTCCCGAGATCCCCCCTCAAGCCCGCCCCAAGGTGAGAGGTGGGGGCGGGAGAGAGACCACTGAGCCAATCGGGGACCAGAGGATCTCAGTGTCTGGACTTGGATTGGCTGGCAAGCTCACCTCTGCGTGTCGCTCTAAGCGCCGGCGGGCCCTCTCTCTGCACCCCCCACCCGCCCCGGCCCAGCAGTGCCCCAGCTCTGACCCGGACCCACACGTACGGAGCAGATACTCCGCGCTGTCATGGTCGTAGTCCGTGTCCTCCGGGAAATGGTTGATCTTCACGCAGACGCCTCTTTTCAGCCCTGGAGGGGGATGGGAGTGGTGGTGGGAGTACTTAACAGCTGGGGAGAACCCCCGATGAGAGAAGACCCTCCCCTTCCGCCAACACTTTCTCTCTCTGGACTGATTGGGGGACAGGAAGTCCTGGCCGCTAAGCCTGTCTCCGCATCTGGAACAAACTTTCAACCTCACTGGCCTCAGTTTCCCCACCAGTTAAAAGAAAAAAGGAAAAGAAAGAAAAAAACTCCATCCAATACCACTAACAGGACACAAGGACCTTTGCCCCGTAACCTGTGCGAGGACACTCAGCCTGTGTGGCCTTCTGTTTCCCCCTCTACAAGTAACAAGGCGTTAGTTTCAGCAGTGACAGGGCGCCCTTCTAACTCTGAACTTGCGGGCAAGTCTGAGAATGGGTGGAAAACGAAGACGGGGGGGCTACCGAGCGCGAGGACTACATTTCCCATGAGGCCCTATGAGGTCTTGAGTCCAGTTGTGAGGAGAGAGCCTCCCCAGTGGATCATGGGAGTTGTAGTCTCTTCATTCCTCGGTATAAGGAGAGGGCTTCTGAGTCTCTTTCCGCACTGAACCTGGAATCCTCTGAAAGGAGACTGAGTGGTTGGAGCCAGCAGAGGCAGGTGAGGAGGTGGAGTATGCCTCTAGGGGTCATGCAGTCTCACCCGCTTCCTTCGTCCCAGGATCCTCATCCTCACCTAGCTGGAGACTGATATGTAAGTAAGTGTAAATATAAATACATTTAGTTTCCTCAATTCTCCAGGCTCCTTCCAACCTCCAGGCCTTTGCCCAAGCTGTGGAACATTCTGCTCACATTATTCACTGATGAAAAACTTACCCTGCAAGTGGGCAGCTCATGGGGAACCTGCTTGAAGAAGCTTTCCGTGTGTGTGTGTGTGTGTGTGCGTGTGTGTGTGTGTGTGTGTGTGTCTTGCAGGCATGCCTGCCACCAAAGTTAGGTCAGTTTCCCCCTTTGGGTGTAGCAGCTCTCTGTGCTATATCCCCCTTTTTGGCATGCATCAGGTTGATTTATGATCTTCTTCCTCAGCAAGCTGGGAGTTGCCGCAGGGGGAGGGCATGGGATTTGATTCCGCTGTGTGTCCCTAGCATTGCTTGGCACAAAGGAGGCCTTGAGAAATGGGCATGGAATGAATGAATGAATGGAATTATGAATGAATATAAGGATAGCAGAAGGGGAGATTCCAGGGAGAAGATGACAGGAGAAGAAATGAGATAAATGAAAGGATTGAGAAGAAGGAATATAAAGAGTGACTAATTCCACTAAGAGCTAACATTTAAGTGGTTCCTAGGTGGATTAACTCATCCAGAGCTCCCCAGAGTCCTACGAAATAGATAATGTTATTGGTGTTGTGCAGTGGCCAAACGTTGGGAACTGGGGTCACACTGCTTGATAATGAAGTCTGACTCCATCACGTCTCCATTCTGTGACCCTGTTGGCATTACTCAGGCCAGTTTGCTTCAGTCCCTTCTCCTATAGCAAGGGGATAATAGGACCTACCTCACAGGGTTGTTGTGAGGATTGAATCCAAGGAAAGAGATTTAGCACTTTGCCTGGAACACAGTTAAGTGCCCAGTTGCTATCAGTCAATATACCCATTGTCCAGATGAGGAAACAGAGGCACAGAAAGCGTTCATCAATTCACAGCTGATGGGTGGTGGACGCAGAATTCAAACACACAGCAGTTTGCTCCACTGGAATATAACCATATAGGCTGTTTCCTAGCATCCTAGCCTAGCACATAAATATTAATATGCTTAATAAATATTTTTATGCAAGAATGGTTGAATGGGCCAACAAGCACATGAAAAGTTGCTCAACATCACTAATCATTAGGAAAATGTGTCAAAGCCACAACGAGATACCATCTCACAGATAAGAGATACCATCCCATTAGGGGGGCTACTATAAAAACAAACAAAAAACAAAAACAGAAGACAACAAATGTTGGTGAGGATATGGAGAAATTAGAACATGTGCACTGTTGGTGGGAATGTAAAATGGTGCAGTTGCTATGGAAAATAATATGGAGGTTCCTCGAAAAATTAAAAACAGAATTACCATATGATCCAGCAATGCCACTTCTGGGTACATACCCAAAATAACTGAAAGCAAGGTCTCTAAGAAATATTTGTACATCCACTTTTATAGCAGCATTAGTCGCAACAGCCAAAAGAAACATACATGTCCATCAACAAATGAATGGATAAACAAAATGTGGTATATACATACAATGGAATATTATTCAGCCTTAAAAAGTGAGGGAATTCTGACACATGCTACAACACGGATGAACTTTGAAGACATTATGTTAAGTGAAATAAGCCTGTCATAAAAATACAAATACCATATGATTCCACGCATGTGAAGTATCTAAAATAATCAAATTTATAGAGACAGAAAGTAGACTGATGGTTTCCAGCGGCTTGGAGGAGGGGGAATGTGGAGATGTTGTTTAATGGGGACAGAGTTTAAGTTTTGCAAGATGAGAACAGTTCTGGAGATTGAGTGCACAACAATGTGAATGTACTTAACGCCACTGAACTGTACACTTAAAAATGATTACGATGATAAATTTTATGTTACATGTGATTTACCACAATTTTTAAAGAATGAATGAATGATAGAATGAACGAATGATTGAATGAATGAATGAATATACACCTGTCAAGTGCAAGCTCTTACCCGTCAGCACATCCATTAAGCTGTGGCAGGTAAGACTGTGGGTTCAAGTTCTCTCCCTTCTTGAGGGGGATCATAGTACTTCTCTCCAAACGTGAATGATAATGAAATGAGATTGAGCACGTAAAGCTCACGCCACGCAGACTCTTGACAGATCAGTGGTGACAGCAGTCATGATAACTACTGCTTACTGAGGGCTAACCACGCATCAGGCACTGCTTCAAGCATTTGGCAGGCATTAACACACTCAATACTTACGACGACAAACCCTACGGATACCAAGCAATAATTGCATCCCTGCTTTAGGAGGGACGAGAGTTGATGCTGCTCAAGCCCATGTGGATGGTAAGTCATGGAGAGGGGATTCCCGTGCAGCTGGGCTTCAGAGGTGAGCGTATTTGGAGCAGTGGAGCGTGGTGCCTATGACCATGAGCTCTGGACTCACATGTCAGGGCTGCCACTTCCCATCGGTGTGGCTTTTGGGGCTTGAGTGCTGCCGAGCCTCAGCTTCTGCATGTGGAAAATGAGGGTGATGATATGACCGTACAGGATTTGATATGAGTTCAGTGGAACACACAGTCAGGTGCAGAAGCCATGGGAGTTATGCGATTTGCCTCTGTGGATTATCCGACCCTACCGGGCCAGGAGATTTTGGTGTGCAGGGATGGTGGTGATGTGTCCCCGAGTCCCCCCAGGCCGCTTAGCACGAACCTGGGTAGGCGAGGATGAGGGGGGAGGGTGCCACAGCGAGGACACGTGGCTTCCAGCCGGCTCTGCCCCTCACATGTTAAGTGGCCATGTGGCTGACTCACTTCCCCTTTCTGGCCATCAGCTTCCTGCTCTGACAAACTCAAGAGTGGTAATAATACCTTCTCTCTGGCGCAAGTGAGAGGATTCAATGAGATAATAAAGCGTGCAAAGTGCTGAGCACAGGGGCTTTACACAGTCGGATCACATAAATGGGGCCGTGGGTCCAGGTTCTTTCTTGAGTCCTGAGAGAGGACCTAGGACTGCAGCTGAGATTGGGGGGTGGGGAGGGGTACAGGGAGGGAGCACTAGACCCATAGGGATGCCACTAGCCCCAGGTGGCTCTTGGGCACACGAACCATGGCAATCAAGGTGAGCTGTGAGCCTAAGATATGCACCGGATTGCAGACTTGGTGTGAAAAACATGCGTAACATGCGTAAAATCTCATTGATAACTTTTATATTGATTACATGTTAAAATGATAATATTTGGGCTATATTTGGTTAACTGAAAGATATTACTAACTTTTATATTAATTCATTATATTGTGTGAATTATATTTATTAAATTTATATTCACTGAACCTTTTCCTTTTTACTTGTTTTCATGCAGCTATTAGAAAAATTTAAATCATATATGCGGCTCTTGTGATGTTTGTATTGGGCTGTGCTGGGCGAGAGGCTGGGACTTCTGGGTTATCAAGGAGGAGAGACTCAGGACTTGGTCACCTGAATTCCTGATAATAAGAATAAGAATAAGAACAACGGCAAAATATAAACTACATAATCTAGCCTTTACTCTGTGCCTGCTAGCCTTTTAAATGCTTTACACCCACTAGCTCATTGAATCCCTCCATCACCCTGTGGCTAGGGGCCATTATCATCTCCATTTCACCAGTGACGGAAATGAGGCACAGAGAGGTTAAATATATGGCCCAAGGTCACCCTGCTGTGTGTGGCAGACAGGAGGTAAACCCAATCGCTCTTGTTCCAAAGTCTGTGTCCAAATCACTACATTCTACTGCATCTCTCAGAGACTCAGGGGAGATGGGAATGGAGCCCAAGAATTCCCAGGGACGCCGCGCCTTCAGGAGGCAGTAGCTCAGAGGGCCCAGTTTCTACACTCTTGGATCCCTGATGGGCTGGAGGCTGGTCATGTGTTGCTTTGTTCTCCTAGGAAACCAAATAGACCTGGATTCAAATCCAGACTCTATTGTATCTTAGCTGTGTGACTTTGGGAAAGTCACTCCACTTCTCTGAGCCTTCACCTCCATTTCTAGAAGATGGGGGATAATAATAGTACATCCTGCATAGGGTTATTGTGAGCATTCAGGGACAAATGAATGACAACTGTAGCAACAATAAAGCCGGGCTTCCTTTACCCCCTCCTAAAAACACTTACTTCCTTTGGCTTCCAGGACACCCACTTACTTTCCCCCCACCCTCAGCAAACCACGGCCCATGGGCCAAACCCAGCCTGCCAAATCCGGCGAAGAATGGGTTTTACGTTCTTTAAATGATTGAAAAAATATCAAAGACTATTTCATGGTACGTGAAAATAATATAAGATTCAAATGTGAGTGTCCATGAATGAGATTTAATGGGAACACCGCCACACTCATTCACTCACGTGGTGTCTCTGGTGGTTTTCAGGAGTGGTTGCGACAGAGACTATGCTCCACAAAGGCTAAAATATTGACTGTATAGCGCTTTATAGGGCCTTTACTATGCTGACCGCTGTCCTAGATGATATCTCTAATTGGCACCCTAAATTTAACATGTGCCCAACTGAGCTCCTGATAGCCCTCCTTATAACAAATTAGATAAGAGAAAATAAATAAAATAAAATACCTGCTGTTCCATCTGATGAATGTCCCCCCCCCCCATGTGCTCAGGTCACAGCCTTAGAGCAGTGATTCTCAAATAGGCGTGACAATTTTGATTGTCATAACTGGGGGGGGGGGGGGTTGCTACTGGCATTTGGAAGACAGAGGCCAAGGATGCTGGTAAACATCCTAAAATGCACAGACGGCCCCACAACACGGAGTTATCCATCCCAAGTGCCCAAGTGTCAAGAGCACTGAGACTGAGAAACGCTGCCTTAGAGACACCAGGACTCTTCTCTCTCTTATCCCCCACAACTGCTCCGTCAGCAATTCCTGCCCGCCACAGCTTCGGAATATGCGCTGAATGCAAACCACCTCCCGAACTCCACAGCTCCCATCCCAGACAAGCCACCTCCTGTTTCCCTCCTGTCTTCTCCTCGGTTTCTCAACACAGCAGCCAAAGCGATCCCGTTAAAATTTAAGTCAGCTCATGTCACGCCTCTGCTCAAGAACCTCCGACGTGAAAAGCAAAAGACGTTGCAGGGACTAGGAGAACGTGTGAGATCTGGGCGCTGTCCTCTCTCTGACTGCACCTCCTACCGTGTCCCCCTCGCTCACGCTGCCCCCAGCCTCACTGGCTCCCCCTGGTGGTCAGACGCGCAGGCTCTCACCTCAGGGCCTCCGCCGTCGCTGTCTGTACGACCCGCAGCACGCTCCTCCAGACAGCCAAGCGGCTCCGTCTCTCACTTCCTTCAGACCTGCACTCCACGTCACCTCCTCAGTGAAGCTTTTCTCAGTCTCCTTATCTACAATTTCACACTCATACCCTAACACGTTCCATCCCCTCCCTTGCTCCTTTTCCTCCTTAGCACTTAGCTCTATCTAACACCCTAAATGTTTTACTTATCTCTCTTATTATCTGTCTCTCTCTCTAGAATACAAGACATATAAAAACAGGGTTTTTTTTTTTTGTCTGTCTTTTCTTCTTTTCACTGCTGTATCCCCGGAATCAAGAACAGTTCCCGGCACATAGTATAAACTCAACAAATATTGGTTGTTAGATGAATGACTGAATGAATGGTATTCTTACTCCATGCTGTACACTGCCCTAGGGGTTTCATGATGCAAGCCCCCACACTTGGCTCTGTGCCTGGTGCCTGGTCAGACCAATGAACGGACATAAACTCAAAAGCCCACAGGAGGAAGAAAGTAACATAATGAGAGAAGTGGATGGATGTGAGGCGATAGGGAGTGGAGGTGACTGTGGGGAAGTGAAGATCTCCTTGCCTGATCTGAAGATGCAGTTGCTACTCAGATGGGGCCAATCGTGGCCACTGCAGAATGCAGGCCCCATGTTGTCACATCTTTCACTAGTTCAAAAGAAGCTGGAAATCGGATTTTCAATGTGAAGTCTCCTTATTTTTAAATGTTGGCAACTGATTCAGATTTGGGTTTCAGTTTTAAACACTCTGCAAACCAGACAAAGCATATCTGCAAATCCTATCCATCAGGTCTGAGTTCTCTTAGCTCTGCTCCAGTCACAGCTGGGCAACCTTGGGCAAGTGGCTTAACCTCTCTGAGCCTCAGTTTCCTCATCTCTGACAGGAGGGTGGCCCCCACCTCATAGGATTAAAGACGATAACATTCCTTGCTCATTGAGAGTGCTCAGAGGAGGAAAGGATGGGAAAAGAGAGAGATAAAAAAGAGAAGTGAACGGATTTCCATGTTTTTGGTGCGGGAGGAGGAGCTTCGAGATTGGCTAGTCCCACTCGATGTTGCCGACAAGGGTTGTGAGACTTAGGGAGGTGAAAAGATAGGGGTCACACAGGAGGACAGATGCACAGTGGGACTGGAACCCAGGTCTCCTGCTTCCCTGCCAGCACCTCCATGATATGTGTAAAGAAATGCCCAGGCTGAAAGTGGGAGAGAGGAGCTGGGGAGGAGAGGGCAGGATGGGGGAGATGGGAGGCAGAGGGTCCAGCTAGGAGGGAGGCTGAGAGAGGGAGAGCAAGACCAAGGAAAGGTAGGAAGGTGGAGAACAGAAGAGACACTGGGGTCAGAAGAGAGAAGCCTTAGAGTCAAGAAATGAGGTGTGGAAGGAGGAAGAAGTGGAAGGAAGGTAGGATTGGAGGGGGGACAAAGCAGACAAGGACCAGGATGGGAGGTGGGAAGAAACCCTGATAGGAGACCTGGTGGGGAGAGGCAAGCAAGACAAGGAGGCCTACAGGAAAAAAAGGGACAAGAGAGGACCGAGGAGAGGGTCCTGAGTTACGTCCAGATGAGGCATGACGTTTTAGGGGAGAAACAGCTCAAGCAAGGCAAAAGGATGGAGGCGATGAGGAGGGGGCCATGAGTGGGGCCAGAGAGGCAGGAACACTCAGAGACTGAGGCAGGATGTGGGAGAGAGGAGATGCAGTGAGCATGAAGGGATGAGATGGGGGCAGCTGTAGAGGAGGGGGTCAACATAAATGGTGAGAGGGAAGGACGGAGGAAATGAGGCAGAGGAAATGAGCCCCATGCAGAGGGAGAGGTGAGAGGGAGGGATGAGAGGGGGAAGGAGACAGAATGAAGGGAAGATAAGGGGGTTCAGAGGGGACGAGGCACCCATGTGTGGAGAGATGGAGGGGGGGCATGAATGGGGTGCAGGGAAGCATGGGAATACAGAGGAGGGCCAGGATGCAGAGAAGAGTTGAAAAAGGAAGAGAGGAGTGGTAGGGGGTGGGCGTGAGTGGGAAGGAGCAGGAGGAGAGGGAGACCACCACGGAGATGAGAGGAAACCCGGGAGACTCGGGAGAGGGGAAGCTCAGATCTGGAGGGGAGGAGGCGGGGGCTCAACGCAGGGGCGCGAGGCACGGGCCCTCCGCACCCTACCTTCCAGGCAGCAGATCCTCCAGAGGCCTGAGTGCGTGAGGCCGCCGGGGTCCTTCTTCTCCGAGGAGCCGCTGCCTCCGCGGTGGGGGGGGCCATCGTCGCCGGCCGTGAGGTTGGTGGTGTTGCAGATGAAGGCGCGCGTGTAGAGCCAGTAGTCGGTGCTGATGGCGATGGTCATGAGGCCGAAGGCGGCGAAGGCGCCTACCGTCGTCAGGAGCACCTGCACCCCCTTCTCGCACCACAGCCCCCTCTCTTCGTTCCAGCGCTTCAGCGACTCCAGTTTGACCACGGGCAGCCGGGGGGCCGTGGGCCACCACCGGGGCAGCGGGGGCGGGGCCGTGCCGGCGGTGGGGGGTGCACAGCGCAGGCAGAAGTGGGGGGGCCGGGGCCGGCGGGGCTGGGGAGGGGGCAGCGAGGAGGAGGCTGCGCGGGGAGGGGGTCAGAGGGTGGCCATGGTCGCCAGCTGGTGGAAGGCAGGGAGTGAGGCAAAGGATTAGACAAGAAGGCACCAGTACCTCCCCCGATCCCCACACTGCCCCCCACTGATCCCCAGAAAGAACCCCCCCAGTTTCCTCGGTTGAAGAAACTCCTTCCACTCTGGTTCTCACTGCCTCCCTTTCTGTGAAAAAATCTCCCTCTGCCCAGGGAAGTCTTCCAGCAACCCCACTCCAGCAACACCCCCACCATCTGTGGCAGGACACTCCTCCAGCCCCCTCAGGCTCCTCCCCCTGTCCTCTGTCCTCACCACAAGGAAAACCATCCCTCTTGTAGCCCCAATGCTTCCTCCTCCCAAGGAACCTCTTCTTCATTTCCTACAAGACCCCCATCACCATTCTCCTCTCATACAATTCTACCCACTCTCCATCTTCCCCTACAAATCCCACCTCTTCACCTACTATGTCTTCTACTCGAGAAAAATAAGTCTCCTAAAATCTCTCCTTAGCTAAAAAAAAAAAAAAAATCTTCCCAACTAATTCTTACTGTTTGCACAACTCAGAAGAACCACACAGTTGCCATCACAACCACCCCCACCCCACAGTCTCCTCTGCGTGGGAACCCCCTTCCCCACTCCGACCGCTATGTCTCTGGACCAAGGTTTTCAACCTCCAACGCACCTTGAAATCACCGGAGGACCTTTAAAGATACTGATACCTGAGTCCCACCTGAGAAATTTCTATTTCGATGGTCTGGGGTGTGGCCCTGAGCATTTAAGTTTTTAAAAGCTCCCCAGGGGATTCTAACTGGCAACCAATACCTTTGACCCCTTGGATCTGCTGGTTTAGAAGAATGTTTTCCATCTCCATCACATCCCCTCTAACAGCCCCCACTGGCTCCCCGGGACCACCCCTCCATCCCCAACTATGTCTTTGACTCAAGGAGAATCCCCCACTCTTCCCTTTGCTTAAAAATGGCTTTGGAATCTGGCCCCCACTCTCTACAACTTACACAAACTCATCATAAGCATCACTTTCTCCTCCATTAAGAAAAATTTCTTCCATGAGCTCCACAGCATTTTCTACTCACAGGAATCCCTTCCTCCGGACCCCAGATTCCTCTCCATTCAGAAATCTCCCAAGCTCTGACCTGTATACCCACCGCTATCTAAGGAAAACCCCCCCACTCTGCCCAGCATCCCCATCACCCCATTCCTCTGCCCTTCCACCATCTCCCTCTGCCTCCCAATCTCCCCACTGTAGCCTGGTTATCTTCATCATAAGGATGGACCCCCAAACTCTATATCTCCCCAACTCACTTGGATCTCCACTCTCCCTTCAACTTACAAGAACCTCCCTCCACCCCTTAGGCTGCCTTTTCTTGCATTAGGAAGAATTTCCTTCACTTTTTCCCCTTTCCTCCATCCACTCCAGCTCCCAGCCTCTCCTCTACTCAGGAAAATCCCCTTCATGGCCCCCACCAACTTCCCTTCTTGGGAACACCCACAGGACTCCCCCTACTATTTCACCTGTGATGGAACATACCCTGCACCCGTGTTTTCCTCCAAATTTAAAAAGAGCCCCCCCTCCACAGATGGTGCCCCTCAGAAAAATTTGACTTACAGCTCTCTTTCAATTAGGAATAATTCAATAGAATAATTCTGTAACCCCCCCCCCCAGTGTCCATTCATTTCTCTCTTCCAGTGTTCCACCACCACACCCCCAGCCTGCCTTCTCCACCCTCCCAAACCCTCTGGTCACTGGTCCCTTACTGTTTCCACTGCTCACTCTTTCCTAGACTTCTTCCCCCCAAGCCCCATATTATAATTAAAAGCCTAGAAGCCTTAGAGGAGGGGAGAAAACACTCCAGGTCCCAGTACCAGGGTGACCTTGGCCTCTGCGCCCCCATCAGCTGGCCCCCACTGGGTCTGCTCCAAGGAGGGGCTGTTGAAAAAGGGTTGTCTATGGGGGGGTGTCTCCATGGCAACTGGGCCTAGTGCCCCAAACATGCGTTCCCTCCCCCACCTCCACTCCTGCCTGCCCACACACGCAGCCCCTCCCCCAGCCCCATTCATCAGCGCTGGACACTGACATCCCCCAGCCTCCCTCTCCTCGGTGCTGGCCCCCTCCTCTCTTTCCTCTCCAGACGGACAGCTGAGTTTCCTTTCCTCACCATCTCTCGGCCTCTTCTCTCCCTGTCTGTGCCCCCCTCACCACAAGCACCACCACCTCCACTGTCCTAGCAAATTTCTGCTTCCACCTGGGGTGAGCCTGTGACCCCAGGATGTACCCCTCTTCCTGTTGGGCCCCCTACAACCTGGGACAAGGAGGGGATGGAGAGAGGGGGTAAATGAGGGAAATTCTCCATCAGAAAAAGATTTGAGGATCTTTTATCAGTTTGGGGGGCATTCTGTTCGGTTTTAGGGACTCTTCCTTCAGTCCCTCTGTCAGCAGCAACAAAGGAGGAGGGAGCAGGGGACCCCCAATTCTAAAGCTTCGGGATATGAGAGGGGTCACCCTCCCTTCTCCCTCTGAAGGGGTCCAGCTCCTTCCTCCAGAATTAGGGGGCTCACAGAACCTTCGTTCTACATCCACCCACCTCCGATTAATAAAAAGATCTGTCTCACCTCTGTTACCGATAGGTCAACTCTCCGATGCACTGGGGAGGGGACGGTGAGCCCCCCTGTCGGCACCCCCCCAGAAAAACCCTTGTGGCTCCCAATTCTCACTGCTCCCCCTCCCCCAGAAGCGAGGGACCCAGGCGTCCGACCTGGTTGGGGGGTGGAGATGAGGAGGCGTATGGGGAATGGGGGTGTTGAGGTGGGACAGGAGGCCGAGGGGCAGCTCTGAGCTCGGGCCCCAAGGGAGTGGGGGTCGGGATGGAGAAAAAAAAAAGGTGAGGAGACAATTTGGTTCTCGTGTCGCTGGGTAAGTGCGGAGCTGGAGGACGAGAGAGGGAGGGAGGAGGGAGGGAGGGGGAGGGGGAGCCGCTGAGGATGGGGGAGCCACGGAGAGGAGATGGATGGGGGGAAGGGAAATGATTGGGGGGGGCAGGGTCTGGGTGGCAGAAAGAAGCTGGAGGGAAAAAGAGAGAGACCCGGAGAGGGAGGAAGAGATACAGAGAAAGACAAGGAGAAGCGGAAAGAGAGAGACCGGGAGACGGGAAACAGAAATGGGGGAGGGAGAAATTTGGGGGAGGCAGCGGCTGGTAGCAGAAGGAAGTTGGAGAGAGACACACACACAGAGAGAAATATCCAGAGAGACAGAGACCCAAAGAGAGAAACCAAGAGAGGAGGAGAGATGGGGGAGGGGGGAGGACTGGAGTGAGGGAGAGGATGGGGGGGTCAGGATCTGGGTGACAGAAGGAAAGAAGAGATGGGGAGAGAGTCATCCAGAGAGGGGGAGGAGAGACAGATGGGGAGAGACAGACAGAGAGAGACTGAGAGGATGGGGGAGAGAGAGGGAGAGAGCAAAAGAAATACGGGGGGGGGGG